ACCTTGGAATGGGGACATCGGATTGGATCCAAATGAAACTTTTGGCCTTGAACCCCCAAATCACGCTGAGCCACCCCTGCCAGGGGAAGTAGCTTTCCTTTTTGTGTCTGAAGAGGCTAGCCTCCCTCTGCCTGGAAATTCTGTGAAAGCTCACCTGGGGCCCTGAAAAGGGATGCTTCCCCCTCTCCAGACCCATCACAGCCCTGCCCTGTTGCCACTAGATACGTGACTTGGTCCATTTTCAATATACTCCAGGAGCACGGGTATACACTTTGACCATCAAAAGCTTAACCAGCAGAAGAATTGTGAGGCTTTGCTAGTATATACTGGCAGAAACCTGGGAAACCAGTGTGGGAATGGATTCTAAGGGGATTGGACCAAAAAGGGAGGAATATAACATTAGATCAGGCCACATAAGATGGGCATAGCTGCACTTACTAGAGACTCTGAATTTAATGTGTTAGCTTATGTAACTATGTATTAATTATATAACCAATTACCACAAACTTAGAGACTCAAAACAATACATTTTTATTATCTCACCGTCTCCATGGGTCAGAAATCTGGACATGGCTTAGCTGGGTCCTCTGCTTCAAGGCTTCTCCCAGAGCTATAACCCAGGTGTCGGGCAGGACTGCAGTGTCTTGCCCTTTCATCCGAAAGCTTGACTTGGGAAGGATCCGCTTCCAAGCTCACATGGTTGGTGACAGAATTCCGTCCCCTGCAGGCCTCAGTGACCAGCTGGCTGCTGTCCTCATGAACCGCTTCAACGTGGTCACTTTCCCCAAGCCTGCAAGCTGAGAAGGCATAGACCGAAGACCCAGTCCTGTGTAAGCTAGTCACGGAAGTGACAGCCTACTGTCATAGTCTATTGGTTTGAAGTTTGATACAGGCTCCCCCATCCTTAAGGGGAGGGAATCACACAGAAGCATGAATACCAAGAGGCGGGGGTCCCTGGGAGCCGTCTTAGAGTCTGCCCGCCACCGGCCCGAAGTGGCTCTGACAGCTTATTTGGTTGGTTGACCAGAAGAACTTGGCCTCAAGGGTGGCCCACAGCTCATGCAGTTGAGATGCCAGGGCTTCCTCAGGATGACGTGGAGGAGAGAATGCAGGCTCAGGTGAGGAGGATGGTTGGATTGGATCTAGAATGTGAAACCTGCTGATTGAGAAGATTAAAGGGGTATAGCTGATCCTGTGCCTGGCCCTGGGAAGGTAGTCAGAGATGTTTAAGCAAAGCAGCCACAACAAAACCCAGGAAGTTCTCCTAAATCCATTTAACAGAACAAGACCAAGGCTCAGAGAAGTGAAGCAACGTGCTCAGGGTCACACACCACACGGGTGGTTCAGACTCCAGGTTGAGTGCCATACTTCCCCACCTCTCTGCACCTCCTGTTGGGGGGTAGAGGGACCGAGGCAGAGCACATAGCACCCCTGCTAGTGCAGATGAGGCCCCAGATCCCCCAGCAAGGGGGAGCACGTGCCTCTCACACTCACGTTGGTGTGACTGGGCTGGACTGCCAGGGAGGGGGCAGCCAAGCTCTTGCTGGCCAAGAGGGATGCAGAACTAGAAAAATCATTACAGGTAGATGAATTATTCAGAGCATCGTCGACCTCCTCAGGCCCCGGACAGCCGGAAGCTCACTGAATAACCCAGCGCATCTTATTACCCACGTGTAATGGCCTCTTTCTCTGTCTCAGAAGAAAGCGATTCAACACCATCAAATATTAATGCGGGGCAGCTGATACGGTGGCCGCTCACACACTGGCTCTCCAGTGCTGCCCTAGAGGTCAGGGATGTCGCCAGCCTGGGATCCAGAGACTCGACTGGGACGGCCCAGGTAGCCGTGCCCTCCCTCCAGAGCCTGAGAAGAGAGTCCTCACACACGGCGGCAGCCTCCACCCCGTCCATGATCTCAGGTGCACCAGAAATGCCGTGCTTTGCTTTCCTAAAACAGAGATTCATGTTAATTTTGCACATCATTCCCAATCTCTCCCGGGGGGCTGTCTCTGCCCCAGAGCCCTCCTGGGACTAAGGATTCGGAGGTGCCTTGGGGTCTGTATTAGTGTCCCGTGGCCGCTGTAACAGATTGCCCCAAACGGGGAGGCTTAAAACAACAGACATTTATTCTCTCAAAGTTCTGGAGGCGAGAAGTCTGAGATCGAGGTGTCGGCAGGGTTGCACGCCCTCTGAGGCTCCGGGAAAACACCCTCTTCAGCTTCCGGTGGCAGCCGCAGCCCTCGGCTTTGCACACACAGCGTTCCCATCTCTTCCTCCATCTTCTGCCATGGGTCTCTCCTCATCTCATAGGACCCCAGACGTGGGATTCGGGGCCCATTCTCCTCCAGGATGACCTCATCTTAACTGCAGCAACCCTATTTCCAAATGAGGGCACCTTCTGAGGTTCCAGATGGACATAACTTGGAGGACACTATTCAACCCATTATAGGGTCCATGCTGGCACTCATGGCCACGGCTCACCTGGATCCTGACTTTTGGTCCATTCAAGTCACACAGGTGTCCTGACCCCAGAGTTTCTCCAGGTTTCTCCTTCCTCTCTGGTCCACATCCCCACTTCTCCCGCTGTTTCTGCAGCCCCCCTGGGAGTGGGGAAGCTCAGAGGGGTTGTCCAAGGCCCTCTGTCCAGGTGCCCCTCACCTCACCCCCATTGCTCAGAGGGACAGGGTCCCATCAGTCCCCCAGGCTCTGGCAGGGAGTGGGGCCCTGGGTTCTCAAGTCAGGGTGCAGCCAATGCAGTCGACGCCCTTCCCATGTCCCTTCGACCGTCACTGTCCCCAGCATGCTGACCCAGCAGATTCCAACTCCACACTCCTGGGCCCTTCACCTGCAGCTCCTCCAGCCATCAGAGCCCACTCAGCTGCAGCGTGGGGCAGCCCAAGGGCCAGGATCACGCTCCTCCCACCAGATCAGCCCTCAGCCAGTGGCCCTAGCACCCTCACTGCTGGATGGGTCAGCTCTGCTGCACGTTCCACGCTGTACCCTGAAGACCACTGCGGGCATGGGCTCCACTTCCTGGAGTGGCTTTGCAGCTCCCTTGCCTTCCCATCACAGTGCCTCGCTCATCACCTCCCAAATAAGCTCCCATTCATCCTCTCAGGTCTGCTGCTGGGGAAACCTGCACCGAGACACGGGGTCTAACATCTTACCAGCTGGGCCCAGGTCTCATCTCGGGAGACCCTCCACATCCAAGCTTTTCTCTTCCTGCTCTGACCACATCTCCTGCCTCGCCAGGACGTGGCTTCATTCATTTAGAAAATCAGAGTCTGAGATGAAGCTCACCAGCAGCCCCCAACCACGCCGCCCCACGCCCTACCCCCGCTTCCTCCTCCCCTCGGCCACCCGCCCTGCGTCCTCCCAGGGCGATGCCAGCGTCATGCCGCACCGGCTCCAGTTCAGTCTGGCCCCCGGTCTCCCCCACTCTCTTCCCTCTATGCTTTAGCTCAGGAGCACCCGCACTCTGCAGGCTCCCCTGGGGATCCCTCTGCCTCGCTCGAGGCCAGCCCCGGCCCCCCTCCTGCAGGAAGTGTCCCCACACCCTCCAGCCAGATGCAGCTCCCCTTCTACCTCCCAAGCTCTTTCCAGACATAGCCGATGGCCTCCACCCGTGCGTCTCATCCACCGGCTGGAGACCTGGGACTGAGCCACATCTGTGTCCCCAGCACCCTCACAAGACCAAGTCTGTAGTAGGCATCTGTGGGTATTTGACATCGAGGATGGCCACCTCCCTATTCTTAGTGAAAGAAGGTATGGGCACACGGTCTGACCACAGTGAAATTCTCCCACAAATGATTGCAAGCGGCTCTCATGCTTTTTCAAGGTCCCGTGCGGCAGGGGACATCCCAGGCCCTCCTCCCACTCAGACCTACAGCAGCACGCACCTCCGAGCCTTCGCACATGCTGATTCCTGGGCCTGGAACCATGCCTGTCGTCCGGCTCCCACCAGACCCTTGGCCGGGGATGGAGATGCTCCACTGGGCTCCCCCAGCCCCAAGGCCTTGCCCCATCCCTATCCTTGGGCCTCTGGATTGGAGCAGTCTGCTTATTTGCCTGTCCCCTCAGGGATCAGCTCCTTGGGGTGTGGGCTTCAGGAGTGAGCTCAGTTATCAGGGTCAGCGTCATCTCCCAGCCCCTGGGCCCTCCTCACATTGTCCCCACGTCCCCCCACCTACAACTTGCCCGTCTACCCGCAGTCCTCGCACCCCAGGCCTCCATCTTGCCCTAAGCCCGGGAGCATGGCCCGCTTCCGCCTCTATGCTTCCTGCCTTCTAAACAATAGTTTCTGCCACACCGTCACCCCTTCCCCAGTACCCCTGGACCCCACCCCAGGCCTGGCCTGGGCAGGGTGACCCAGTGACCAGGACACAGCGTGAGTCTGGAGCCGCTCTGAGACCAGTGTGAGACAGTCAGAGAATGTCTCCAGGGGGGTGACCCATGAAGGCTGGACTGAGCCAGGCACGAGGGGAGTGTCCGGGGGACCCGGGAGTGATGGCTGGAGACAGGATGACTGCCAATGGTCGGCTGTGGCTGGAGCATTAGGGCCAAGGAGGGAGGCTGCGGAGGGCGGGTCTGCCCTTACCTGGCGGTGATGGGAGACGCTGCAGTCTGGGCCACGTGGAGGCTTTCGGGGACTTGAGGTGCTTTTGCCTTTGTGGGCCCCTTCCAATATTAAAAAAACATTTTTTTAAATAAACTTATTTATTTATTTTGGCTGTGTTGGGTCTTCATTGCTGCGCACGCACGGGCTTTATCTAGTTGCTGCGAGCAGGGCTACTCTTCGTTGCGGTGCGCGGGCTTCTCACTGCGGTGGCTTCTCTTGTTGCGGAGCACGGGCTCTAGGCGTGCGGGCTCTGGTAGTTGTGGCACGTGGGCCCAGTAGCTGTGGCTCACGGGCTCTAGGCGCACGGGCTCAGGAGTTGTGGAGCATGCGCTTAGTTGCTCCGCGGCATGTGAGATCTTCCAGGACCAGGGCTCGAACCCGTGTCCCCTACATTGGTAGGCTGATTCCCAACCACTGCGCCACCAGGGAAGCCCTAAAAAAGTTTTTAATTACATTTTACAACTGCACTGGTATAAAGACAAATATAATCCAGGCTGGATTCATATTATTTTATCTTTTTCCTCTTGATTCTACGAGAAATGAAAATGAACACATTTTTGCAGACCCCTAGAGGACTGAGTCCCAGGCCCTGTTCCTGCTGCATTTAATGTGGCCGTCGGCCTGGACTGCTGGGCCCAGCCAGACCGACCCACACTGCCTGGAGGCTGAGACGCAGGGGGCACTGGAGGCGGGGGGCAGGGGCAGGAGAGCCAAGTTCCTGCAAGTGGCAGTGGCCTTGAGGGGGGCTAAGCCGGACCTGAGGATGGAGACTTGGAGGGAGGCAGGCGTTCAGCACCCCCATGGCTCATGGGGCTTTCGAGGCAACCGCCCTGTCTCCCACCATCCTGGACGGGGAGGGACAGTGCGCCGGCCGTGAAGCTCAGTTGCCCAAACTTCCAGCCGTGGGACCCTGCGCAGGTCACGTAATGCCTCGTGCCTCCATTTCCTTATCTGTAGAATGGGGACATCCAGGCGGTCTGGGAAACACTTGGTGCTCGGTGAGTCCTTGACAAGTGTCACCAACTTCCATTATTATCTCTGTTATTAATAATTACCTCCAGGGGTCCTCCCACAGCAACCTGGGAGGATGACCACATCGCTATCCCCTCTTTACAGGTGAGGAAACTGACCGGCAGAGGGAAGGGAGCTGCCTGGGTTTCCTGCAGCAGCTCCAATGAATGACAGAAATGTCAGTCCCCACCAACCAGACTAGAAGGAGAGGTACAGGGCAGCCCACACACCTACCAGGCAGTGGCAGGGCCGGCACGTCCACCAAATCACGAACTCCAGAACCCAAGCTCTTCACACCTGGCCTGCCAGGGCTGGACAGGACCCCAAGCCTCCCACTGCATCCCGACGCGGGAAGCTTCCGCAGCAGGATCGTGGCTTGTTTTCTCTTTAAGTTGTGACTCACCTTCTGGAGAAACCATATTGCAAGAACAGTACATTATCTGGGGCCCACACTGGAAGAGCGTATTTATCAGGACAGCCCAGGATTGACGGAGCACCATGCCTGAGGGATTGGCGTCTCCATAATTCCCACTTCCCCGCAGCCGGGACCCTAAGAGCAGAGAGCAGGGAGTCTCTTGGAGCTGCTGAAGCCGCCACCTGCCCCTGGAGCAAGCGATGGGGCATGAAAGCAGAGCCCGGCCGCCCGCAGACCGGCATCCCCTTCACCCCAGATCATCAGTGTAGTGAACAGGACCCCACAGGGTGGGGAACGGTCTTCCACCTTGGGGTCTCCATCGGGTGATTTTAGCTACAGTCTGTCACGAGCCATTATCCATTTTACCTATTTGTTCAACATTCATTCCTTTATTTAACAAAGTTCACTGAGTGCCTGCATGGGGCAAGCATCCCCCCAGATGCCGACAACACAGACGTGGACGAGACAGACCAGGTCTAGCGGGCGAGACAGAACCGAACAAATCATCGCACGATTCGCTAGTTAATGACACTGCCGCGAGCACGAGGAGCAGGGGAAGCCCACCCAGGGCGCTCGCCGGTGATGCGGAGAGCTTAGCGTCTGTGCACCGGTGCCAAGCCAAACCTCAGAGACAGGGTTTTGGGTGAAGTAGAAAAGAATAGCTTTATTGCTTTGCCAGGCAAAGGAGGAACACAGTGGGCTCCTGCCCTCGAAAACTATGTGTCCCAGCCCGGGAGGATTTGTTAAGGAGTTTTATAACAATACCTCCCAAGGGCGGGGCTGCTGACAAGATGAGGGGCCTCGGGGTCTCAGGCGTGGGCCTCCTTGATGAGCTTCTCGAGGCCTTGCTGAGCTTCTCGGGTCCCTGTGATCTCGCCTCCGCCTCCGGTGGTTTCTTGGCCGCTCCTCCCTTGATTAGCAGCTGTTCGAACCTTCCCTTTGGCACTCAGGGGAGGTCATGGAGGCTGGAGTCTTGCCTACAAGAAACGGGGGGCCAAAAGGCTTCCATGCCCAGCAGCCCCATGGGGTCCTCCTCGGTTTCACCTGGGAGGCCCCAGAAGGCTTCATGGGGGCGGAAACCCCTAGAAAGAGGGCGACCAAGGAGAGGAGGAGATGCTGGGTGAGGGAGTAGCATAAGACGGGAAGGAGCCTTTCCGTTTTCACTCCAGTATCAGTGAGGCCCTGACAGTGCCCTTCCTGGGCGTGTTTGCTCTAGGATTCTGCCCCTGGGCCCTGCCCAAGGCCCCGGGACACACAGAGGCTTTGCCATAAGGGAAAGGCAAGCATTTCTGGGCCATCTCCTGATGCACTGCCTTCTCCCTTCCTCTCTTACCTGTCCCTCCTGCCACACAGCTTGGCCATGAGGATTCTTGCTTTAGGAGGGAAGTGGGGACCACTGAGAACAGGGCGTCCCTGGGACTGGCAGATGGAGCCTCTGACACACAGAACTTCCCACCTAACTGGAAGTGGAAGCTGGAAGCCAGTGGGGTGGGGGGAGCAGTGAGGGTCTCCTAAACCCCCCAGGGAATTCCAGGAACGTGGCCAGAGCCCTGGAAGATGCCCAAGGAGCCACTGGGTGAGTCTACAAACGGCAGAGGGAAATGTCTCAGGTAACCCTGCATATCACCCCTCCCCCAGACCCTGCAGTATCCCCTTGCCACTCTGCCCACCCATCCTCCACCCCGAAGCCAGGGGAGCTGTTCCAAACCCAATCCCAGACTTCCAGTTTCTGGCCTAGCACAGAGGAAGCTGGGAAGCTGCCCCTCAGTCCTAACAACAAGTAAAAAAAGTGAACAAGCTGAAAAATCAACAACTCTTTTTAGATTTGTGAAAGAAGCAAGGCCACAGGGCAAACTGCATCAGAGGCACCGACAGGTGAGCGCAGAGAACCACAGCTCCAGGAGCAGAAAGCTGCCCAGGAACCAGGGCTAGGGAAGGGGACCTGAACGGAAACTGACGAGCTGCTGGGGGCTCAGTGTAGATAAGGTTGAGAGTTGAAGCTCCAGAGGGGCCAGTGCGAGAGGGGCCCTCACCTGTTTGTGAACTTTACCTCCAGGTCCCCAATCTGCTCTCACAAGTGAATATTGGAGGGAAAATCCCCGTGTGCTTCCAGCAGGGGAGGAGAAAAGGAGCCACTGTGAAATACACCAAAATATCCTGTTCTTAACAAGGCCAGCCCTCCTAATCTATCAGATTTAATCTATTAGTTTAACCTAATCAGAGCCTAATCTCCTGGGGTCTTATCAGAGCCTAACAGAGGTGAGAAAGGGGAAACACCCAACTCCAAGCCACTCTAGCCATCCCTCCCCACTTATGGGGGTGGGAAGGGATGAGAAACATTCATGAAGTTCACAGTTCTGTAAGCACAGGTTCACTACAGGACTGAGACCTAGAACTCTTCCCCTCCCCCCACCTCACCACTGCATTACTAAAAGCCTATTTATTTCCAGAAGCTTCTTTCACCCAGTACATCATGTCCGGCTTTCAAGAAAAAGTTACAAGGCATACTAAAAGGCAAAAAACATAGTTTGAAGAGACAGAGCAAGCATCAGAACCAGATTTTTTTTTTTTTTTGCGATACGCGGGCCTCTCACTGTCGTGGCCTCTCCCGTTGCTGAGCACAGGCTCCAGACGCACAGGCTCAGCGGCCATGGCTCACGGGCCCAGCCGTTCCACGGCATGTGGGATCTTCCTGGACCGGGGCACAAACCCGTGTCCCCTGCATCGGCAGGCGGACTCTCAACCACTGCGCCACCAGGGAAGCCCCAGAACCAGATTTTGATATGGCAGGGAGGTTAGAAATATCAGACCAGGAATTTAAGACAGCCATGATTAATATGCTAGAGCTCTAATGGGTAAAGTCAACTGCATGTAAGAACAGATGTGACGTGTAAGCAGAGAGATGGAAATCCTGAGAAAGAACCCAAAAGAAATGCTACAGATCAAACACACTGGAAAGGAAATGCAGAATGTCTTTGAGGGACTTATTAGTAGAGGAACGGCTGAGGAACGAATCTCTGAGCTTGAGAATATCTCAACAGAAACCTCCAAAATTGAAAAGCCAAGAGAACAAAGACTTAAAAAAAATAGAACAGAATATACGAGGGCTGCAGGATAGCTACAAAGGTGTAACATATGTGTAATTGGGAATTCCAGCAGAAGAGAGAAAGAAACAGAAGAAATATTTGAAACAATAATGGCGGAGAATTTCCCCAATTAATGTCAGACACCAAATCAGAGATCCGGGAAGCTCAGAGAACACCAAACAAGATAAATGCCCCAAATAAACTATACCTAAGCATTTCATTTTCAAACTTCAGAAAGGCAAAGATAAAGAGAAAAAAAATCCTGAAAGCAGCCAGAGGGGAAAAAAGCACATTATCTATAGAAGAGCAAAGGTAAGAATTACTTCCAGCTCCTTGAGAATGGAGTGAAATATTTAAAGTGCTGAGAGAAAAGCCCCACAAATTTAGAATTCTGTACCCTGTGAAATTACCCTTCAAAAGTGAAGGGGAAATAAAGACTTTCTCAGACAAACAAAAATTGAGGGAATTTGTGGCTAGTAGACCTGCCATTCAAGAAATGTTCAAAGCAGTTCTTTAGAGAGAAAGAAAATAATATGGGTCATAAACGTGGATTAACATAAACAAAGGAAGAGCATAGGGGAAGAAATAAAGAAAGTGAAGGTAAAATAAAACCTTTATTTTTTTTATTCTTAACCTTGAACTAACAGATAATGATTTGTTCAAAATAATCATACCAACAATGTATTTGACCATATACATAATATATATGCTTATGAATGTTTATGTATAAGTGAAATGAATGACAGCAATGATACAAAGTATAGGAGGGAGGAATTAGGATTATTTTGTTATTATAAGGGATTTGTACAACCCATGAAGTGATATAGTGTTATTTGAAGGTGGATCGGAGTAGCTGTAAATGTATATTGCAAACTCTAGGGCAACCACTAAAAACAAGCAATATAACTGATAGGGTAAGAAAGGAGAGAAAAGAGGATTATATAAAATGCTCAGTTAAAACCACAAAAGGCAGATTTGCAACAACATGGATGAACCTTGAGAACAACATACTAAGTGAAATAAGTCAGACAAATACTGTATGATCTCACTTACATGTGGAATCTAAAATAGTTGAAATCATAGACACAGAGAGTAAAATGGTGGTTGCCGGGGGCTGGGGTGTGGAGGTGCTGGTCAAAGGATACAAGTTTTCAGGTATAAGGTGCATAAGTTCAGGGGTCCAATGTACAGCATGGTGACCACCGTTAACAATACTGTATTATATATTGAAAGTTCTCAACACACACACACACACACACACACAAAGGTAACTATGTGAGGTGACAGATGTGTTAACTACCTTTATTGTGGTGATCATTTCACAATATATATGTATATCAAATCATCATGTTTTACACCTTAAATTTATACAATTTATTTCTGTCAATTATACCTCAATAAAGCTGGGGGAAAAGAGAAGAGTTACTCCAACACAAAAATCTCCAAATATCAAGGACTTGATAAATATTTATTTCTTACTCAAAAAAAAAAAAAACAACCCCACAGAAAAGCAGAAAAAGTGAAAGAAAAAAGTAGTAACAAAGAACCATTGTAACAAATACAAAACAGTAACAAATGTGGTAGATATTAAGCCAACTATATCACTAATCGCTTTGAATGTCAATAGTCTAAGTGCACCAATTAAAAGACAGATTGGGGGGGCTTCCCTGGTGGCGCAGTGGTTGAGAGTCCGCCTGCCGATGCAGGGGTCACAGGTTCGTGCCCTGGTGCGGGAAGATCCCACATGCCGCACAGTGGCTGGGCCCGTGAGCCATGGCCACTGGGCCTGTGCGTCCGGAGCCTGTGCTCCACAACGGGAGAGGCCACAACAGTGAGAGGCCCGCGTACAGAAGAAAAAAAAAAAAGACAGATTGGGGCTTCCCTGGTGGCGTAGTGGTTGAGGGTCTGCCTGCCGATGCAGGGGACACGGGTTCATGCCCCGGTCCGGGAAGATCACAAATGCCATGGAGGGGCTGGGCCCGTGAGCCATGGCCGCTGAGCCTGCACGTCTGGAGCCTGTGCTCCGCAATGGGAGAGGCCACAGCAGTGAGAGGCCCGCGTACCGCAAAAAAAAAAAAAAAAAAAGACAGATTGGTAGAGTGGATCAAAAAACAAGAGTCAACTATATGTTGTCTAAAAGAAACTCACTTTAAATATAAATACACATATAGATTAAAAGTAAATGGATGGAAAAAATAAACCATGCTAACACTAATCAAAAGAAAGCAGGAATAGCTAATTAATTTCAGAGCAGACTTCAAGGCAAAGAGTTTTATCAGGGATAAAGAAGGGTGTTAAAAAGTGATAAATGTCCAATTTTCCAAAAGGACATAACCCTTAATGTGTGTGCATCTAACAACAGAGCATCACAATATATGAGGCAAAAACGAATAGAATTTCAAAGAGAAATAGATGAATCCACTATCATGGTTGGAGACTTCAACACCCCTCTATCAGAAATGGACAGGTCCAACAGGTGGAAAATCAGTAAGGACATAGTTGAACTCAGCAACACCATCAATCAACTGGATAAAATTGACATCTATAGACTACTTCATCCAACAAGAGAAGATTGTACACTCTTCCCAAGCTCACACAGAACATGCACCATGATAGACCACTTCTGGGCATAAAACATACCTTAACAAATTCTAAAGAATAGAAATCATACAATGTCTGCTCTCAGACCACAGTGGAATTAAACTAGAAATCAATAACAAAAAGAATACTGGAGAATCCCAAAACACTTAGAGATTAAACAACATACTCCTAAATTACACATGGGTCAAAAGAGAAATTGCAAGAGAAATTTAAATATACAGTTGGCCATTGAACAACATGTGTTTGAAATGCACAAGTCCACTTAAATGTGGATTTTTTTTCAATAAATACATACTACAGTACTACACAATCTTTGGTTGGTTGAATCTGTGGATGTGGAACAGTGATATGGAGGGCCAACTGTAAAGTTACATGCAGATCTCC